AATTGTGTTCACAAGAATGACTTAAGGAAAGGTCACCACTTGTGTTGAATTTTAGATAGAATAGCCTTAATTTCCTAAAAGAAAAAAAATGGAATCCATTATTACCCATGGACTTTTTTCCCCTCAAGAATCTAACAAGATTACAGAGCATGATTATTCATTCAATGCAAGATTAACATAGAATCTTCTTTCCTAATTGGCCAGAAAAGAACACTAGAAATACTTTCTCCCTTAGGTTTTATTTGTTTAGAATAATTGGACCTGTTTTTAAACTACTACTATGTTATATGCAAAAGTAAACATCATTTCTCCTCATTATTTGATGTATTGTCAAAGATGTGATTATTTCCCTCTTAATCTACACCCCAATTCCTAAAGGGCAGCCTCTTTATCCAGATTCTCTATTCTCCTTCCAATCTTCGCCAGCCCCAGCAAAAAAGGCCTGCAACTGCTTTGATCTTCCTAAATGTTTAACTTACCTCTTTGGATATCTGATAACATTTGAAATACTGCTTAAAATCTAGCAATGCAATGTTTCTTATGAATGCTCCCCACCAAAACTAATAGCATTGCATAAAAAAGACAAAATAACAATTTTCTTTCTTCAAAACCACTCAGCTGTGCAATCTTGAGTTTTTTAGATCTTTAGAAGATATGATCAGTATGCATAGGAAAAATCTTCCTGTCTCTGACTTTCCTGTATTAGGGTGCAAGGCAGAGCATTAATAGCTACACTGCCTTGTTAATAAACTTCCACCAATACACTTTAGGAAATAATTTGATTTACAAAAGAAAAATAAAAAACACCAAAGCTGAAATATAGCTCTTACAACTTGCAAGATCAACTCGCCATGTGCTTTTTTTAATCAACTGAAATATATACATTTGAAAAGAAAACAGATGATTTAGCATTCTCTCATATCATGTCAGTAAGCTTGACTAGTTTCTCATTTTTTTTCCTAATACTCGCTGGTACTCTGACTTATGGGGGAAAAACTTTCATGAAAAATGTGTGCTACTTTTCTGCTTTTGGCCTTGTGTGTGCTTCTTCTCTGCCTTAATTACAATATAAATCAACTGCAGAAAAAGATTTACAGTGATCACTCCTCACTTAGAGAGCTGTGAAGATTGATCTGGAAGTAGCATGTTTGTCAAGTCCTGTGTCTGCTTCTCATCTTAGCCTATTCTAAAGGGACTTGCAGGGCACATACGGTGGTGTTTGGAAAGAAGTCAGGGTAAAAAGAAAAAAGATGCTAGTAGATGGCTCTTTGTTCTCAAAGAACATACTGAACCTTTACCCTTCCAGAACTCCTGGGCAAAAAACATTACATAGAATCGTAACTTCAAACCCAGTAAGGAGAAAAGATGACCACAGCTATTGAACTCATTCCTAAATATTCCGTGTGGGCAAGCAGGTGAGATGGCAGTTGTAACAGCAATCTCCATGTTTTTAGTGGGCTGATTCTTATGACTGCCATCAAGAATTTATTAAGGACTTAACTATCTCCAGGTCATTGTGCAAGCTTCTGCAAGAGGAATTAATGAATCCCTGCTTTCACGAAATTTGTCTGTTTTCTAAGGGAGGTTCATTCGTTACTCTGAAACATCAAAACACATAAACATAAAATTAAGAAAGCAGGCATAGTATAATATGTCCTGCTTTTTGGCCTGGGAAGTTTTTGAATGTGCTGAATTTGGGTCTGAACCCAGAAAATTCACACCTCTATTTACCACTTGCACTGTTTTTCTGTTGCCGTGCATGCAAGCCAGTGTCTCTTTGGGTATAAAATTTAAAAAGTGAAGTAGCGTATCTTTTATCTTTCTTCTTGTTGGATTTCTTTGAAAAGTGTTTTTTTTTTCTTTTAATATGAATATATCAGTTTAAAAGTAACCTCAGTGATTTGCTTCTTGATGCACTATAATAAAAAGTGCCATAAGTTACTAGGACAGCTGATTGCTAACTTACCAAGATAACTCTCTTTAAAATGTTCGCTTTTTCCCAAGCAACAATCTAGAAAAAACACCATGTTTTTCTGTTCAGTTGTCTCCTACATTTACTCTTTTCCTACAGCAGCATACTTCTCTTGCACAGCCAAGTGCCGAAGATGTTTGCTCTTATTTCACAGGACTCAGACAGACATGCAATCATACTTTAAAAATATATTCTCAAATCTAGAAATTAGCCAGTAATTGAAATTATCATCACAGTGTTTTAACTGATGACCACTGAACTCTTTGCTGGCAAACGGCTCATGGAGCATTAATTGCACGTCACATTACAGATCTGCGGAGTTAAGTTCTGTGTTGCCCTTGGGACTGCAAGACCTCAAGCAACTTTGTAAGTGTCTTTCAGAATTGGAAAAAAATTCACTAAACTTCAAGAGTTCTGCTTCTCTGTGAAATATGTACTCTGCTGTCCTTTCAAATGTCATTTCCTTCCCATGGGAAAGTCCCTGTTTTCAACCCCCAGCACTAACAAAAAATGTCATTTCTTACCCCT